AAATGTACAACCCTGCATGATTTGTCGAAGTGACGGGCGTTGACGGGCCGGAGGCCCGTATCTTCGTGCACATTTTAGCACTATACTCGGGTGTCAGCGCCGCAGGCCAAGGTAGATGTATGCCAGGCGCGTCGCAGCGTAACAGTGTTTCGTGAGGTATCGCGAAGCCTGTTACGCGAGACGTGGTCTGGCGTACATCTACCTTGTTATTTGCAATTTCAGCGTACAAGCGGCGTTAAACGCACGGGGCACAGGGGCCGGCGCCGTCGGATAGTATTGTTGTGCAGGGAGGGGGACGGGGAGCCTAGTATTGTTAAGAAGGGTAGGGGAAGGGGCCTGAAGCGACACTCAGGCACTCGGACACGGTTCCGCCAGCGCTAAGGAAATTGTTTTCTGGTCTCCGCTTGATTCTCTTGCCGTTTCAAGAGTAAAAGCTAGCTGACACCTTAAATTTACTTATATATTCTTTACGTTTAGTCGATAGGTTTTTAAGGTATCATCTGCTAAAAATTCTGTAATTTTACAGGAAATGTTTAGCTAATTTTAGAGGGAGGTGGTCTCGTTAACTATTTTTACAGGGCAGTTGTAAAATTACAACAAATGCCATAGCCATAGCCACTGACCTCAATAGTTTTGTGAAGGAGTTAGTAACAGCTAGTGAAAACAAACAGTGTAAAATGGAGGTAAATTTGTTTTATTTATCTTTTCTTTTTATCATTATATAATTTTACCTGCAGGACATTCATAGACCTTTTTAAACTACTTTTGTTTACAGGTATGCAAAGTACTGTTTGTGCTGAGAGATTTGGTGTCACAAAAACCATCTAAAGAAGACATATTTAATTTCTTTAAAGTATCTATTTTATCAATAGTTCAGGCAGCTAAGGGTGGAAACCTTAGCGCAGTAAAGCACACCATTTTTTATCTCAGCCATTCTATGTTCAACAAAATTACTCTTCCAAACCATGATGAGCCCTGGTAATAAAAATTATCATAAAATGCTGTCTGCAAAAGATCAAACTTTATATTATGTTTCAGCTCTTTCATGTTGTTGTTATTCTTTTAGGATCCCTGAGAATGTGGATACAATTCTAGAACTTAACTATTTTTACAGGGCAGTTGTAAAATTACAACAAATGCCATAAAACCCAAAAAACATTGACACTTTTTTACGTTTGCAAGGTAGCACTGTAAAATTACAGGATAGCTGTCAGACTACAACATTGGTTGTAGAATCCGTACTATCTATATTTCGGAGATTATGAATTCTTTTCCGTTTCAGAATGATAATTTGGGTTTCTTGTGAATTCACCACAATGTACACGTACGCCAGAGCACGCCTTTGCGTAACAGGCTTCGCGATATCTCACGAAACACTGTTACGCTGCGACGCGCCTGGTGCAAATATAGCGAGGCCTGTGGAGCTGACACCCGAGACGAGTTACCCTGCTGTTCGATAAAGGTTTTCATTAAAAGTTTGAATTTTGACAGATTGTTACATGTAAAAAATCAACGTTTTAGTGATACTAGATAATCTAGGGACCCTTAGGCTCAAAAAAGGATGTGGTTCGACCCCTAATGTGTGGTTTAAGACCTGCCTGAAGTTGGCCAGAAAAAAAGTTGGCCAGAAAAAAAAACTTAGTCAAAATTTTCAATTTTTTCTAAAGAAAGTACTAAAAATTAACCATCCAGAAATTCGTTATTAGACCTGGGGAACAACATATCAAAAGATGGCGGGACACTTTTTCGGAAAGTCTTGGCCACTTACGCCCGGGGCCGACTTTGGAGGGCGGGACATTTTTATCCTTGCTGGAACAAAATCCCATATTTTCCCGAG